CCCAAAACCCCAAAACCCCAAAACCCCAATAGATAAATTGTAGCATTTATGATAGATAAGAATGACATATAGTAAAAATCAAAAATAAAGTTAAAAAATACAGTATAATATCTCAAATATATCTTCTAAAACAGTTGATTCTCTCATGTGGGAGGTTTTTAATCTTCTCTATAATTTATTTACCTTTCCTCATAATCATTGAGTCCATTAGCGTGTTACCTTTATTTTTTTACTCATATTTAAAATCATGTTAGTTACTATCTATCATAGATCTATTACTTTCAAGATTAATGTCTCGCTTGGTATATTAATCATCATTCGATTTAGTATTGGAAAATTCTACACTATCAAGTGGGTATTCAGGTGTGCCTAATTAATCAGTAGATATCTATGACTTTGAGGGCTTCTATATTTTAGTTTGCTTATACCCCTCAACAATATCGCAAAATGATACTCTCTTGTCATTGACATTTGCCAAAATTATTGACTAGGAATTATGTTTATCTGTTTGATCTAGCCTATCATAGTTTATCTTACTAATAATTTGGATATTAGGATCACGATTCTCATCATTTCTTCTAAGTGAAGATTTTAGAGATTTCACTTAGCTTTATTATTTCCCAAGATCACGAGGTGACTTTATACAATTATCAATTTCCATCTAAATTTGAGAATTTGTAGAAATTATTTAGAACAATTCATCAACTGTCTGATGGTAGTCCTTATTTTTAAGGCTATAAATTTGGCCAAGAAAGTGTTCAGGTACATTCTTAAATTACTAGACTAACTTTTAAAAGACTGGATCATTCTTTAATTGCTAGGCTTGTGGTAAAGTAGAAAGTCTAAGCATGTCAGAGGCTTAAAATGGCTATTAATTCTTGCTTGATAATTCACTCTTACGGAAAAGTAATTAAGAAAATCTTTATCTTATAGTAGTTGTACTATTCTCATTTTGAGTTTCGAGAACTTTATGAAGCTATTAGTCTTATGATGGTAATTTAGTCTAAGACTAAGCCAAATAATTACCTTAATTTTACCGAATTAAAGTAGAATTGTCTTATAATTTGAGTTAATCATTGCTGGTATATTTGCTCTCCAAGTCAGAAAATCTCAATGCATTAAAGTTCTGGCTTCTTACTAATCTATCTATCTGGTAAGTCTTATCATTACTCTTAATCTACAGATCCTAATCCCTGCTAGGAGTTAAATCATCCATCATCAAGTACTAATCATTTAGTTCAAGATTTTCTTTCTTAAGAGGGGAATCATCCGCAATCGACTTGACATTATCAAAAGCCTCTGTATATTGTTGATTCTCTTCAGAGTCTCTATAAGAGTCTTCTAAGTCTATGAACTAGGGAACTATCTAATCGAAATTTCTATTTCTAACGATTGGATTGGATGTTTGATACTCGTTTAAGTCTGATTAATCATCTGGATAGTCATCAAAACAAATTGAATTCATTATTTTGTTATTTGAATTTGAATTTATTTATTGATCTTCTTTTTAATGTTAATTATAAATAAACTCTTCGGGGTTTTGGGGTTTTGGGGTTTTGGGG